CTATGGTCTGCCGGGGTAATAATATAGTGTAAAGCGCATAGAGCCTGCTGTTGAGCGGGGATATGCGCTATACAAATGCTATCTATTATTATTATTATTATTATTATTATTGAGCCGACAGAACGTTGTAATTCTAGGATAACAAACTGTTGTACCCTTCAGGATCGTATGTCTACCTGAACGCATCCTCTGACAACTCATCGGCCATTCTGATTGGTCAACTGGACTCCTCGATACAATCTGTGTGTGTTGAGCTTCACTTCGCTACGTCACAGCCCTCTTCTTTCGACGTCCGTGTGTACAACACCATGTCTCCGAACGACGTCACTGAGAGCACACTTCTCTACGAGTTCCAAAATCTCAGTTCGGTGGGCCAGTGGAAGACCTTGAACGTGCCGCCTCGATGTGTTCTTCAACATTCTTACGTGAGCAGCTTGTTTGAGAAGAAACTAGAGCATCAAGCAATCGTTCAAACACAATGATTGTTAGTTTTGTTTTTGTTCTTGTTTGTTAGTTGTTGTTTTGTTGTTGTTTTGTTGTTGTTTCTAAGGATCTGTTTTTGAAAATTTATTTATTTAAAAAAAAAAAGAGGCAGGGTCTCATAATTACCATCTATCTCTGATGAGATAAAAGAGATGTGGAATTGAATCACTGAAAGGAAAAATGCAAATAGAAGAAATAATTACTAAATAACTGTAACATGAGAGTTCACAAGAGATACTGGGAATACAACAAAATAAAAATGATATAAGGCAGGTGTTGAAATAGCAAAGTGCTGAAGTAATCGGAATACACAGGTAGCACCCCTTCCAAATGTAAGATTTCCACACACAAAAATTATACAAGTGTAATAAATATAGATCTATATGTTCCCGCCATGGAGCATTGGAGCAGGAACAGACCGAGCTAAAGATGAGAACAGCAATAAGAATTTTATCAGAAGACCTCTTGATGTAAAATAAAATGTAAAAAAATAACAATTTTATTGATCCCAGAAGGGAAATTTGGTTTACAATGGCAAACATGCATAATATACACCTAAATACATAATCATAAATACATACATACATAAATACACACATAATACATAAAAACACAATATTACACCTATACAGAACAAATTATTTCGCAACCATGCCTTTGTTGGTAGCCACTGTGCAGCGCCCTGCTTTTAAATTATTTTTTAAAACAAGAATTGTCGTGTCTTGGTCAAGGACACACCCCAGTGACCACCCATCTGATCCCCCAGTCACCGACACTTGCTTGATTTTACTTTTGAGTCTAAACTCACTACTCACTTAGCCACTGGAGCCCCTTAGGCAAAGGAGATAGAAAGACAGAACCTGTTCACTGCCTTAAATCATAAGGAACCGACACAAGAAGAATTTAAAAAGAGAATTTGTTTTAATATGCTGACAGCACTGTCCCAAACCTACAGGGAATCTTATTTTCATTCATCATTGTAACTTAACTGTAACTTGCAAAAACACGACAAAAACATTTAGTATTAAAACCATACGACCAAAACGGGGTATTCACTAATCATAGTCGCTGTTCTCCGAACGGATTTCTTTTTTATTGTTCAAAGGGGCGAAAATGAGGCCGCTCTGCCGTGGTCCTCTGTATATACAAATTCTGTGATCCAAAATATCGGATGTGTGATTAAGATTCAGATTCGATCTCGGCGTAATAGGCCCAAATAGATTACAGGGGCACGTGTGGGCCTTGTGACAGTTACTGTATTGATAGATACCATTTCTTATTGTTTTGTGTACATACACAAAAACTATTTAGATAAAATTGGATTATTTATTTAATGTATATTTTCGTTGCCGACGTCTTCTTTCCTCGGGAAACAGCGCTTTGTAAACTAATATAATTAGGGAACGTTCTTATGACTTTTGTTTCTTTTTGGTAAGTGTTTTACGGCGCTTGCAACAGCATAAGGTCATATGAGCCCGTAGGACACATTAAACTTTGTCATTTGGAAGGACATTTTGAATTTTGCCCGGGTGGCGCCGAAGCCTACCTTTATCGATTTTAGACCACCAAGGGATCTTTAACGAATGCAGCTTGCACACGGGCGCTCCGAGATTTTTCGCCCATGTCCGAAAAGGCTAGGTTTAAATCTTTCCTACCAGAGGACCAGGGGTGTGGCTGAAAGACAGCAGTAGAAGGAGTCAAGGAGTAGCAGTAGAAAGGCTGCAGAAAGAGTCAGGAGCCCAGAGAAGGGGCAAAGGAGGTGAGGGGGTGTAGGCAGAAAGAGAAGACGAAAGCAGACGACAGAACATTGCTAGAGAACAGGAAAGGAGGTGAAAGGAGACAATTTTAGAGAAGAAAATTTTCGGTAGGTACGCGGATTTGAACCCGGGACCTTTGAATGAGAGGCCAACACCTTACCTTTAGGCCACGAGAGCCCACTCTTTTAACTTTGACGTCCGTTTTCTCAGCATCTTTTTTCAAGAATTTATTTCTATAATTTACACTGATACTTGGCTATTATCTTCAAAACGTGTTCAAATACAGTAACTCCTTTTTTAAACAATAACGACAACAACAACAACAAAAACAACAACAATAACAACAATAACAACAACAACAACAACGACGACGACGACGACGACAACTACTACTACTACTGCTACTACTACTACTACTACTACTACTACTACTACTACTACTACTACTACTACTACTATCACTGCCACTAATACTGCTACTGCTACTGCTACTGCTACTGCTACTGCTACTGCTACTGCTACTACTACTACTACAACTACTACTACTATTACTACTACTACCACTACCACTACCACTACTACTGCTGCTGCTGCTGCTGCTGCTGCTGCTGCTGCTGCTGCTGCTGCTGCTGCTGCTGCTGCTGCTGCTGCTGCTGCTGCTGCTGCTACTACTACTATTACTGCTGCTGCTGCTGCTGCTGCTGCTACGACTTGTCGGTGCATCATGTGCATCCATTTTCCGAATATTCTATGTTACTTGCTATGTGTTAGTAGCCTATTTTAGTTAAGAGTTAAAATTAGGAATTCGCAATCGGGCTTTCTTGACTCGATGGTGGACAAAGAAATAAAAATGAAAAGTGATTACATCTAGGAGATAGCACAGGCAGACGTGAAAGGTGAAACACTGTGTGTGTATCAGCCTGCCCTGTTTACTGTTTACGTCTCGAGGAAGTAGTTTGTATTTCGTTTTGGTACGTGAGGAATGGCATTTGTAGCTCACATGTCATATTTGTTTGTTTGAGTGAAGAGAAGTACGTGGATACAATAACGGTCTATAAGTGGAGGGGGGTGGGGGAGGCGGGGAGGAAGAAAGACAGGCAGAAACTTAAGAGGAATAGTACATTGTACAGAAGTAGAACCTACCCATGGCGCCCTTCAACCACCCACAGGTTGTGCATGAAATGCTACTCCGGTACTCTACAAAGGCATACGTTTCTTCTCACCAACCCTTGGAAAATGTTTAGACACTGTCACAAAACAATTTTAAAAGATACGCTATGTAGGCCTACAGAAACAGCCAAACCCCTACACCATAGATCCTCCAAATAGTGGAAACATTATGTGAAACATTTATCAATATAGAGCCTCCAAATATTACATAATTTCGAATATTATGATAAGCCTGTTAGATTGTGAAACAAAATTAAATGTACGTCTACAACGCTTGTAGTATATATGATATATGTATGTATTGTTATGTTTACAATATTATGCACGCATCTTTTTTATACCATTAAGATTGATTTCCACTTTTTCTCGCATTAAGACAAAATTCGTTTAAACAGATTGCCTTTGAAAGCTCTGGCGCATCACAAGACGGTACTGTAGCCCTGGATTACATCAAAATCACTCGCTCCTCTCTCAACTGTCCGAATTCAGGTACTGGTGTGTGTATGTATGTATGTGTGTGTGTGTGTGTGTGTGTGTGTGTGTGTGTGTGTGTGTGTGTGTGTGTGTGTGTTTGTGTGTGTGTGTGTGTGTATGTGTGTGTGTATGTGTGTCTGGGGTACATTTTGTTGGAACAACCTTTATGTGATTGAAATGAGAGTGACGGGCCAGTGGTACCCTCCAACCACCCGCTGTTATTCTGTCTGTCTCTTTGTCTAGATCTGTGCTTGTCTAAACCCTTTTTATACCCAGCGCCCACTTTTGTCATCATTAAGAGGTTAAAATTTTGGTACCGCCCATCTCCATAATTAACATTAACATTTCCAAGTGGAGTAAGAAAAATCGCCAGTCACTACCCGGGTGACCCCCAACGCCGACCAAAATTCTCCAAATCGCCCTCTAGTGGGCAATACCGCCCAGGTTGACTAGCCCTGGTCTAGATTATGGCCGTGTGAATCTAGACGGTCAGAGAACGTATAAGAATGTATGGGTGTGGATACAATGATCAGGACATGGATATGTGAGGAGTGGACGTGTTGAGAGATGGGAGTTTTAAGCTAGAGCATAGTGTAGTGTGATATAGATTGAAAAACACAATCCCCACGTAGACCCTGCACTTGTTATATGAGAGTACAAGTGAAAATGGATGGGAAAGAAATACATGTACTAGATCTAGATCTATATAATATTATGACGTTGAAATGTGAGTCACTTTTATTTTTAGGCCTCTGTTAATTTCCTTTCCCAGCATTCACTTCAAGTGGTTTACTCCTTCTTTCCCATCAAACACAACATGTATCGTCCTTATCTCTCCTCCTTTGTTTTGTTTATTACTGTTTTGTAACACCTCATGTATTGCGAGAGCCGTAAAACTCTTAATAAACTATAAACACTAGCCTTCTTTAACAGAAAAAAAATTTAATGAACAGGACAGTTTACCCCGCAGTGTCACACATAGTTCAAACTAATTCTGCACTCGTATTACTGCATTGATCCCATAATCCACGAGGATCGTAGGGGCGCTTTTGGTCGCTTTTAAGAACAAGCGGGCAAACCCAAATTTCGGGAGTTTACAGAAATCTTGACCTTCACCAAAAGTGAGTATTGTTCTACCCATTGCAGAAGTTGGGTTTCATTGGTGTGTATATGTATTTAGTTATAGAGAAAACTCTCCTTGTTTTTTAAAGAAACTGAACAAGGGGCAAAAACTTTAACTTCGATTTTCTCAAAACAGCATTTTTCGGGATAGCCCCCTTGTGCTTAAAAGCGACCGTATGGCAGAGAACCTCGTCAGGTGCCCTCACTCTTCACGGTTTTTGCGAGTGCCTGAGTTTGGGCAAGGAGTTTACAGTTCTAAGCTCCTTGGGCGAGGATTAAATGAATGAATGAATGAATCACTCGTATATTTGTTTGTTCTTATTAAAGCCACCCCCTCCCTCTCCCTACCAGTGACCC